AAATGCAAATCAACACCTTCCAAACTAAACTTTGGTCTTGCCACCTGCCGAGCAAAACAAATTATAAAATTTGATAATAAATTCCAAGTTGTTTTTTTAATCTTCTTGTAGTGAGTGGGGTTACTTTTCCAGTGAAGTGAATATTTCGTTGAACACTGATCGGGCATGAGGTTATATAGAGGGAACGTCCAAATGGTGTTAGCCAACCAGGAATCATGTGTACATTCTATGTCCCCTCCACGAACTTGGCAATAAATGTGCTTTTTGATCGTTTTAATTAATAACTTACTCCAAGCGTATTCCACTAAGCTGTTTCTTCTTTCACAGTTTGGGAAAAGGGTTTTAACAGTGGAATGGCGATTTTTCGAACCTCCAAGGGAAACGAAAATTGTTTCGAAAAAATCAGACCGAGAAATCGGGGGTAAAATTACAGAGTTCGACTGAGGAGAGGGAACGACTTTTGGTTCGAGTTATCGGGAGGTTCGAGAAAGCTAGGGTACGAGAAAAGGCGGGATTCCACTGTATTTTCTGGCAATTGTGTGGTAAAGCTGACTGACATGACTTCAGGCAGCGTATGGCTGTATCTTTGTAATAGATATTTATATACTTATGAATGGGCTTGAGGCTAATATAATAACCGGTGTATGCATACATAACGTTGCCTCAGTTTCTGCTTAATCCGAAATCAACGAGGGTCCATTTTCTCGTTGAACTTTACAATGAAAGTTGTGGGTAGGGTCAGGCCCAGGGCATGGATGAAGATTTGATGTTTCGGTGTCGGGCGCACGTATCATTTGCACATGTGTTTCGCCTCGGAAAAAAGATAGCGGCTAAAGTTACCGCATTGCTTCAATAATCATTAAAGTTCATTCGAGATCGGAGATTTTCACTCTGATAACACAAATTGAACCGTGTAGATTAAATCTTTATTGGAAAAATCCTGGTTAAGATGACAGTTTGATCAACGCCGTGTGTGTTGTTTCAAAATATTCCAATGTGAATGGTAAACAACCATTCCACGACCCAAATCTTACAAAAGTAAAATTTTCGTGATTATTTTTGGAAAGTTAGGAATGCACCTTTTAACTTGAACCGCATTTCTTTACTAAGGATGAGTGCAAATTAACCCATTTAACTTCCCAGATCGGAGTGGGGATTCTCTTATCGTATTGCAAAACATTTCTTTTAGATAAGACGATACTTGATGAGTTTCTTTATTCTCATCACCATTCTGCTTGACAAAGGATAGATATCTGAAGGAGAGGTTACAGAACGATCAATCTTGTGTTAAACGAGTTCAGTTGCAGTCATCCTTATGGACGAGCCTAGTATATAAATAAATGATTTTTTATGTAACTCGTAAAATATGGATTCTTACTTTCAGCTTAACTCTTAAAACTGTCATTAATGTGTGCTCTCAAGTAAAAAAACAACCCTTAAAGAGAAGAATAACATTAAAAAGTAATTCTCTCAACCCTAGTTTTATCTTTGAAAAATAAAATTGGTATTGGAGTTGTCAAAACAATTTGCTTTGCTTTTATATGTTTGTGGACGTGAATAGTTCTTTTTTACTATCATAACAAAGATGACGGGTTGCAAATAGTAACTAGGTAAATACCAAAATACGTGTAAATGAGGATGTTTTACTTTCTTGTTGAACTATACATTGGATTTTAAACAAGGGCAACCACTCTCAAGTTGCGACGTATTCGTTCTGAATCACATCTCGACTGTGTGCGGTACTATGTGAGCCCTTAACAACACAATTGTTGAGTCAAGTCCATTTTGCTCGTTAGGATATTCGTCCACAAGATATCTGGGACCTAGATTAACGAAAACCATGTTCAGGTCATTATAATCGTTTCATTCCTTCACGTTCTTCAATCAACAAGTGGTTGCCACTCGACTCACAATCTAGTCTTTTCAAGTTTGATGAGTGTAATGTTACTAAAGTTCCTGTAAATACGTTTCAACGAAACCCCTGCAACCACCTCCTCGCTAGGGGATCAACCAACTCATTAAACTTCAGTAATTTTGGTGTCGCGTTCGGAACTAGTTCGTCCAAACGGGATCTTTTCGTCATCACTTTGATTAAAAGCCGAACCATTTTGCTTCGACCCGTGATTATTATGGATATGAGAAGACAGAGGTGCATTGTAACTGGAAAATCGCTTCCTTAAACAAGGACACACGTACACGAGGTACTTTATGTAACCTCTCCTAAAGCGTCTCGTCAGTGTTCCATAGACCAGAGGATTTAGGCAACTGTGGAGTATCGAAAGAGGAACGTCAAACTTGAAAAACACCTCCAAGGCAATGCGTCGTTCCTTTTCGCCGCCAAAGTCTAACATCATCCAAGAAAGCTGGACTGGCAACAAGCAAATTGCAAACACTAATACGATCACTGCTACTGTTTTTAAAACCTGAACGTCTTCTTTGCGTGCGAGACGCAAGAGCGCGTTTCTGTCGCGTCGATTGTTGTTGAGACTTCGTCCTGGTCCATATCTCTCCGTGCTCGACTTGAGTAAGTCAACTGCTATCCTTATATACGCTGCCGTGATAATGGCCAACGGAAGTGAATACTGCAGTACAAACAAGCACGCAGTGTAAGCCTTCCTGGCCTTCAACGAAGGCCAATTTTCAGAGCAGTCATAAGTTCCTGGTAGCCCTCCTTGTGCAACCAGCACTAGAGGCAGAACAGCCAGGAATGACGCTACCCACAAGCCCACCAACCAAACCATGATCTTCCATTTCAGCATCTCAGGTTTAAACGGGTTTGTGATCACATAACAGCGGTGTATTGCCATGGATGTCAATGTGAACACACTGACAAAAAACGTCATGGTTGCGAGGGGTGAAATGCTCTTGCAAAACGCCGTAGTGTGACGAAATTTGACCAGAATTTTGGCCGTGTATATCGGTAGAAAGCCAATCATGAGGAGGTCGGAGATGGCCAAATTCACAATGAACAGATCATTGACTGTTCGGTTCTTCTTGCTTCGAACAACCAACAACACTAGCACATTTCCAACGGAACCCAAGAGAAATGTTAACACATAAACACAGAGCTGGGCTTTGTCTTCTGGAGTGTCAAGAACAGATTTCTCTTCGTTTTCTGCAATGGTGTCGTTTAGTGATGAGATTGACATCTTCGTCCTGTCGCTCTGCTATTAATAAAGGGATCTGATATTTTCTCCAGGTAGGTCTTGGCTCGTTTCTTTGTGGTCAGTTACGCCAAGAGTAGATGCCTCGGATCGTCACGATTTTAAATGTCCAAGAGTTTGCAGTTAACAGCTGTGAATCTCTAAGAACACGCAGAGTAGTCTAATCCAATGATGATTTGATAAATGGTCCCAGGAGGAAATTATCAACTCTTCATGTCACCGAGTCCACATTTCTTGAGTGAAAAATACCTTGTTACCTGGTCGGGTTTCAAATAGTCTTCAAATGATTCCGCGACTTTGAGGAAGATAATAAAAGACGAAAAATGGATCGCAGATCAGTTCTTAGAAATCACTCTTCTGTTTGTTCGCTCAAATGACATGCTCGAGTGTAGAGAGGAGAGCGCTCTCAAGCGATCGCCGACCTCAGCTGACCTCTCGTTCTGCACAGTGCAAGACTTACCAAGGCGCCATGTACAACTGAATGAGTTATAAAATGCGTTCTCTGTTTAAATAGAATCCTGGCTCTGCCCAAGAAACTTGCTGAGGCCAATAATCTCGATGTTATTTCGCTGGAACGCCAAAGGAAACAATGTTCGTGCCTCCCGTGAGCTGAGGTTAATTGCTTTTCCTGATTCCACCAAAACAAGCTGAGAGGGAAAAAACCACAAATTAATCAGTGATAACTATATATTTGCGTGAAATCTCCACTTCTTTTGCACTTTGTTTAAATCCAATTCCATTTTCCAACCAAACAAACAAAGATAAGAAAGCGGCCGCCTCAAGTGTTTGAAACCAAAATAACACTCGAGAGTGGTTCGTGAGTGTAAAGTTTCACTGATCTCGGAAACCACCCATATCCATGCATGGTAAACTTGCATTTGTCGGAAAATGTATAGACAAACTGAACTTCGACAAATAATGATTTCCAAATAGGGGTAAACAGAACCTTGAAAGCATGAAAACTAACATGAAAGCTTCGTAATTGCGGGCCCCAACTCTCTTGCCTCAGTTCGCATCTTTTTTCAAACATAATTTTAGCAAAAGGAACTGTCGCTGGCGTTTTTTTCAATTTAAGATCAAGGAATTTCAACCCTGGCTTTTGTTCCAACGTGTTCTATTGCTGTCAACTGATGACGGGGATCAATAGCAATTTTACAATAATCGAATGCAGGTGATCCCGTGCAATTTACCGTTGAATCGCAATGAACGACATTTCTTGGTGGTCGAAGCTTCTCGCACCCATAGACTGGGAATTTCAAGTTCTTGTGTGAGGGTTACCTCTGACAGGGATAAGGAACCCGTTTCTTCTTGTTTACGTTTTACCAATTTTATAACAAAAGACAAAGAGAACACCGCAGTAAACAGGGCAGCGAAACTGATCTGTCTCTCCCCAAACTAGTCATAAAAACTCTAATGATACACTACAATTGTTGAGGTAGAACGGACTTTAGAACATACCTGCTGGAGCCGTTTGCAGTGTAGTCTTTAAGCCTATAGCTGACTCGTTATTGACATAACCAGAGCGTACACAAGTCCTATGCAAATTTTGCTTTGTGATGACGGATAACAATCACTTTCACTTAAAGCTGATTACGCCATGTTTTTGATACCAGCTGCTTCAGAGACGTTTCCGACAGAAAGTTGAAATACAGTTTTTCGCAAATTGTCGCTCTCTGTAAACCTTTAAACGACCCGCATGAATATTCTTCAAAATTCAGCTTCAAAATGGTCAAACATCTACAAATCTTTACCACGCGAGAAAGAAAAACAGATTTTCTTTTGTAAACGATGAAGTACTCGGTTTAATCTTTCCCTATTTGCCGTAATGGTCTGCGCAAACAAAAACTAAATCTGGACAAAGAGTTTTGAATACTGGTAAAATGACTATCAAATCCCAAGGAACAACAAGAGAAATCCCTCGGGTAATCGTGAACGCAAAAGAGATCAATAGGGAGGATTAAGAAAGAGAGAACGAAAGTCAGGTATGGTAAAATAATAAACGCGTATCTATCGCTACCTAATTAAAAGGGCGAATGTTATTTGCGCGCCCGTTTGATGTGTAGTCAGTCATTCCTGCAATAATAATTTACCTCGGCGTTGACTTTTTGCAGACCCCAGGAATGACACCGACTTTCAAATCCCTAGCAGTCCACTCATTTCACATATTTACTTCCCGGCATCTTAACCACAAACGGTGTTTCTGGACGTTACGACCCGCGTGTTAAATCATGTAAAAGAGCCCCTNGCGCGAAACACTATTTAGGCTTATGGGAACATTGCTTTATTTTTTCCTCTTTTTTTCAAAATTTTCAAAATTAAGTGAAGACGTAATTTATAAATTCAAGAACAACAGGGAAGATGATCCCATGTTTTCTTGATGACAAAGATAACGTAACTGTATGATTTGGTAAGGGCATTGGTTAAGCCTGCAACTAATCAATTTGTAGCAAACATTAAAACTCTCTTAGTAATCGAACAGGAAATACCGGAAATACATTTGTAACGTAGGTGTGCAAGATATCAGTTGCTCAATCATTTTACGAAAAATATCAAAACTGTCCTGGCAATCGATCATAAAATACCGGAAACGCCATCATAACTGCATGAGCCTGTCGAGATCTGCAAATAATCAGTTACTAAGGTCGTGAAAACGATCTGAATTCTTTATTTAGCTTTGCTCAGCCTTTTGAGTGAAATTTTGAGTGAGGCGATTTTTCAAAGGTTCACTAGCTTTGTTTTGACGATTAATTCTGTCAGCTGGTTAAATGAATAATAGCATGTGTCACAAAAGAGGATAAAAGGTTCTAGATTTTAATTACTATTTTCATAAAATGAAAACATTGCACAAATGATTGGCAAACCGCCGTTTCAGCTTTGAACGGCTTTCAAACGGAAAAAAAAACACTTTGAGATACATATGTTGAGCAGATTTCCTAATTTCTTTTTTTTTTCTTTTAATTATTATTATTATTTATTTAAAAGAGCGACATTGAGATTAGCAGAAAAGGAAGCCAATAGCTCTATCCTTAACCCTTAATAACCGGTTCCAAGTTTAAACAAAGCATTTTAATTTTGGGCAATCCTGGGGCTATTGAGTGTACGTGTTAAGCCGTCAACAACAGCCAGGCTTATTTTCCTTTGAAACGAGTGTATAATCTAAAATAAATTGGCTTTCAAACCTCCCTTTTAAATACAAAAAAATTCAAAGCATTTGAAACAAAATAGCAAAGGTAAAATGACATAACACATGGTTGATTTTAACCGTCTAAATCTGCGACGCATTCATGGCAGCAATTGTAGCACGATAAGGAAGTTTTTCGGCCGTCCATAGCAATATAATTGAGAAATGCAAATCAACACCTTCCAAACTAAACTTTGGTCTTGCCACCTGCCGAGCAAAACAAATTATAAAATTTGATAATAAATTCCAAGTTGTTTTTTTAATCTTCTTGTAGTGAGTGGGGTTACTTTTCCAGTGAAGTGAATATTTCGTTGAACACTGATCGGGCATGAGGTTATATAGAGGGAACGTCCAAATGGTGTTAGCCAACCAGGAATCATGTGTACATTCTATGTCCCCTCCACGAACTTGGCAATAAATGTGCTTTTTGATCGTTTTAATTAATAACTTACTCCAAGCGTATTCCACTAAGCTGTTTCTTCTTTCACAGTTTGGGAAAAGGGTTTTAACAGTGGAATGGCGATTTTTCGAACCTCCAAGGGAAACGAAAATTGTTTCGAAAAAATCAGACCGAGAAATCGGGGGTAAAATTACAGAGTTCGACTGAGGAGAGGGAACGACTTTTGGTTCGAGTTATCGGGAGGTTCGAGAAAGCTAGGGTACGAGAAAAGGCGGGATTCCACTGTATTTTCTGGCAATTGTGTGGTAAAGCTGACTGACATGACTTCAGGCAGCGTATGGCTGTATCTTTGTAATAGATATTTATATACTTATGAATGGGCTTGAGGCTAATATAATAACCGGTGTATGCATACATAACGTTGCCTCAGTTTCTGCTTAATCCGAAATCAACGAGGGTCCATTTTCTCGTTGAACTTTACAATGAAAGTTGTGGGTAGGGTCAGGCCCAGGGCATGGATGAAGATTTGATGTTTCGGTGTCGGGCGCACGTATCATTTGCACATGTGTTTCGCCTCGGAAAAAAGATAGCGGCTAAAGTTACCGCATTGCTTCAATAATCATTAAAGTTCATTCGAGATCGGAGATTTTCACTCTGATAACACAAATTGAACCGTGTAGATTAAATCTTTATTGGAAAAATCCTGGTTAAGATGACAGTTTGATCAACGCCGTGTGTGTTGTTTCAAAATATTCCAATGTGAATGGTAAACAACCATTCCACGACCCAAATCTTACAAAAGTAAAATTTTCGTGATTATTTTTGGAAAGTTAGGAATGCACCTTTTAACTTGAACCGCATTTCTTTACTAAGGATGAGTGCAAATTAACCCATTTAACTTCCCAGATCGGAGTGGGGATTCTCTTATCGTATTGCAAAACATTTCTTTTAGATAAGACGATACTTGATGAGTTTCTTTATTCTCATCACCATTCTGCTTGACAAAGGATAGATATCTGAAGGAGAGGTTACAGAACGATCAATCTTGTGTTAAACGAGTTCAGTTGCAGTCATCCTTATGGACGAGCCTAGTATATAAATAAATGATTTTTTATGTAACTCGTAAAATATGGATTCTTACTTTCAGCTTAACTCTTAAAACTGTCATTAATGTGTGCTCTCAAGTAAAAAAACAACCCTTAAAGAGAAGAATAACATTAAAAAGTAATTCTCTCAACCCTAGTTTTATCTTTGAAAAATAAAATTGGTATTGGAGTTGTCAAAACAATTTGCTTTGCTTTTATATGTTTGTGGACGTGAATAGTTCTTTTTTACTATCATAACAAAGATGACGGGTTGCAAATAGTAACTCGGTAAATACCAAAATACGTGTAAATGAGGATGTTTTACTTTCTTGTTGAACTATACATTGGATTTTAAACAAGGGCAACCACTCTCAAGTTGCGACGTATTCGTTCTGAATCACATCTCGACTGTGTGCGGTACTATGTGAGCCCTTAACAACACAATTGTTGAGTCAAGTCCATTTTGCTCGTTAGGATATTCGTCCACAAGATATCTGGGACCTAGATTAACGAAAACCATGTTCAGGTCATTATAATCGTTTCATTCCTTCACGTTCTTCAATCAACAAGTGGTTGCCACTCGACTCACAATCTAGTCTTTTCAAGTTTGATGAGTGTAATGTTACTAAAGTTCCTGTAAATACGTTTCAACGAAACCCCTGCAACCACCTCCTCGCTAGGGGATCAACCAACTCATTAAACTTCAGTAATTTTGGTGTCGCGTTCGGAACTAGTTCGTCCAAACGGGATCTTTTCGTCATCACTTTGATTAAAAGCCGAACCATTTTGCTTCGACCCGTGATTATTATGGATATGAGAAGACAGAGGTGCATTGTAACTGGAAAATCGCTTCCTTAAACAAGGACACACGTACACGAGGTACTTTATGTAACCTCTCCTAAAGCGTCTCGTCAGTGTTCCATAGACCAGAGGATTTAGGCAACTGTGGAGTATCGAAAGAGGAACGTCAAACTTGAAAAACACCTCCAAGGCAATGCGTCGTTCCTTTTCGCCGCCAAAGTCTAACATCATCCAAGAAAGCTGGACTGGCAACAAGCAAATTGCAAACACTAATACGATCACTGCTACTGTTTTTAAAACCTGAACGTCTTCTTTGCGTGCGAGACGCAAGAGCGCGTTTCTGTCGCGTCGATTGTTGTTGAGACTTCGTCCTGGTCCATATCTCTCCGTGCTCGACTTGAGTAAGTCAACTGCTATCCTTATATACGCTGCCGTGATAATGGCCAACGGAAGTGAATACTGCAGTACAAACAAGCACGCAGTGTAAGCCTTCCTGGCCTTCAACGAAGGCCAATTTTCAGAGCAGTCATAAGTTCCTGGTAGCCCTCCTTGTGCAACCAGCACTAGAGGCAGAACAGCCAGGAATGACGCTACCCACAAGCCCACCAACCAAACCATGATCTTCCATTTCAGCATCTCAGGTTTAAACGGGTTTGTGATCACATAACAGCGGTGTATTGCCATGGATGTCAATGTGAACACACTGACAAAAAACGTCATGGTTGCGAGGGGTGAAATGCTCTTGCAAAACGCCGTAGTGTGACGAAATTTGACCAGAATTTTGGCCGTGTATATCGGTAGAAAGCCAATCATGAGGAGGTCGGAGATGGCCAAATTCACAATGAACAGATCATTGACTGTTCGGTTCTTCTTGCTTCGAACAACCAACAACACTAGCACATTTCCAACGGAACCCAAGAGAAATGTTAACACATAAACACAGAGCTGGGCTTTGTCTTCTGGAGTGTCAAGAACAGATTGCTCTTCGTTTTCTGCAATGGTGTCGTTTAGTGATGAGATTGACATCTTCGTCCTGTCGCTCTGCTATTAATAAAGGGATCTGATATTTTCTCCAGGTAGGTCTTGGCTCGTTTCTTTGTGGTCAGTTACGCCAAGAGTAGATGCCTCGGATCGTCACGATTTTAAATGTCCAAGAGTTTGCAGTTAACAGCTGTGAATCTCTAAGAACACGCAGAGTAGTCTAATCCAATGATGATTTGATAAATGGTCCCAGGAGGAAATTATCAACTCTTCATGTCACCGAGTCCACATTTCTTGAGTGAAAAATACCTTGTTACCTGGTCGGGTTTCAAATAGTCTTCAAATGATTCCGCGACTTTGAGGAAGATAATAAAAGACGAAAAATGGATCGCAGATCAGTTCTTAGAAATCACTCTTCTGTTTGTTCGCTCAAATGACATGCTCGAGTGTAGAGAGGAGAGCGCTCTCAAGCGATCGCCGACCTCAGCTGACCTCTCGTTCTGCACAGTGCAAGACTTACCAAGGCGCCATGTACAACTGAATGAGTTATAAAATGCGTTCTCTGTTTAAATAGAATCCTGGCTCTGCCCAAGAAACTTGCTGAGGCCAATAATCTCGATGTTATTTCGCTGGAACGCCAAAGGAAACAATGTTCGTGCCTCCCGTGAGCTGAGGTTAATTGCTTTTCCTGATTCCACCAAAACAAGCTGAGAGGGAAAAAACCACAAATTAATCAGTGATAACTATATATTTGCGTGAAATCTCCACTTCTTTTGCACTTTGTTTAAATCCAATTCCATTTTCCAACCAAACAAACAAAGATAAGAAAGCGGCCGCCTCAAGTGTTTGAAACCAAAATAACACTCGAGAGTGGTTCGTGAGTGTAAAGTTTCACTGATCTCGGAAACCACCCATATCCATGCATGGTAAACTTGCATTTGTCGGAAAATGTATAGACAAACTGAACTTCGACAAATAATGATTTCCAAATAGGGGTAAACAGAACGTTGAAAGCATGAAAACTAACATGAAAGCTTCGTAATTGCGGGCCCCAACTCTCTTGCCTCAGTTCGCATCTTTTTTCAAACATAATTTTAGCAAAAGGAACTGTCGCTGGCGTTTTTTTCAATTTAAGATCAAGGAATTTCAACCCTGGCTTTTGTTCCAACGTGTTCTATTGCTGTCAACTGATGACGGGGATCAATAGCAATTTTACAATAATCGAATGCAGGTGATCCCGTGCAATTTACCGTTGAATCGCAATGAACGACATTTCTTGGTGGTCGAAGCTTCTCGCACCCATAGACTGGGAATTTCAAGTTCTTGTGTGAGGGTTACCTCTGACAGGGATAAGGAACCCGTTTCTTCTTGTTTACGTTTTACCAATTTTATAACAAAAGACAAAGAGAACACCGCAGTAAACAGGGCAGCGAAACTGATCTGTCTCTCCCCAAACTAGTCATTAAAACTCTAATGATACACTACAATTGTTGAGGTAGAACGGACTTTAGAACATACCTGCTGGAGCCGTTTGCAGTGTAGTCTTTAAGCCTATAGCTGACTCGTTATTGACATAACCAGAGCGTACACAAGTCCTATGCAAATTTTGCTTTGTGATGACGGATAACAATCACTTTCACTTAAAGCTGATTACGCCATGTTTTTGATACCAGCTGCTTCAGAGACGTTTCCGACAGAAAGTTGAAATACAGTTTTTCGCAAATTGTCGCTCTCTGTAAACCTTTAAACGACCCGCATGAATATTCTTCAAAATTCAGCTTCAAAATGGTCAAACATCTACAAATCTTTACCACGCGAGAAAGAAAAACAGATTTTCTTTTGTAAACGATGAAGTACTCGGTTTAATCTTTCCCTATTTGCCGTAATGGTCTGCGCAAACAAAAACTAAATCTGGACAAAGAGTTTTGAATACTGGTAAAATGACTATCAAATCCCAAGGAACAACAAGAGAAATCCCTCGGGTAATCGTGAACGCAAAAGAGATCAATAGGGAGGATTAAGAAAGAGAGAACGAAAGTCAGGTATGGTAAAATAATAAACGCGTATCTATCGCTACCTAATTAAAAGGGCGAATGTTATTTGCGCGCCCGTTTGATGTGTAGTCAGTCATTCCTGCAATAATAATTTACCTCGGCGTTGACTTTTTGCAGACCCCAGGAATGACACCGACTTTCAAATCCCTAGCAGTCCACTCATTTCACATATTTACTTCCCGGCATCTTAACCACAAACGGTGTTTCTGGACGTTACGACCCGCGTGTTAAATCATGTAAAAGAGCCCCTTCGTTGCACGGTAAACATTTATGACTGGCATTGAGAACACGTCTGAAAGCTCTCCAGAAACTCCACGAATGCGGCCGTAAAAATAAAAACGCACATCGTATTTTTCTCACGCTTCTTGAAATTTCGTCAAGTGCGCGCCTTTCCTAAATTTTGATGAGCAATTTATTTGAAATAAGCTTGTCAATACCGTTTAGTGGTATTTTATTGTGGGGTGCCAGGTTGATCGATTCCTGATGGGCGCTATCTGTACAAGACATATTTTACTGTTTGTGTCTAGGAAAAGATCTATATCAAAGTGTTCCTTAGGCCCGAGGGTATTCTGGTGCCTTCTGTCCTTGCAATGTAGTGTCTTATCATGAAGAGGAAACTTTTTATTTCAAAGATGATCTGAAGATACAATAGAAGAACCAACATGACTGTACCAGCTGTCCTGCAGCATACAAACATACAACTTTCTCCCGTTCTCTGCACGAGTGATGTTGATATCGAACCTGACTTGAACATAACGCCGGGCTAGATATGTCGGTCTGTAAGTTTATAAGTCGGCCTACTGTGAAATAAAGTCAAACGCGATTCAAGTATAACCCACCCGGCAAAAAGATGGTTCTTATTTTCCCTATAATTCGCAAGAGACTAACGTTCTTTGGTATTAGAAGTAATTTTCCATGACAAAGTTCGTGTACTTCTACCACCTCCCGCGGTTCAGTGATCTACAATTTACCTCTGTCTTGTGGAGCGAATACGCTTCTATTCAATACCACGAAAGTGGCGATAAAAGAGCCAGACCAATCTTTTCAAATCGGTCTGAAAGAACACGCAATACCGTCCAGTTTTCTTTTGAGTCACTGAAGCTCCCGCACGGAACCGATAAAAGTGCAGATGAGATTCGTGGCCTGCAGGCGAATAAATTTAGACACGTCACTCCATGGAGAGAAAATATCAAATGTTTTGGAAAACCGTATCGCGTGTTAAGGCACTGGATTAATGAAACTTCAAAGGGTTGCCGCGTATCTTTGAGGAAAACTACCCGTAAATACCAAGCGAATCAGCAACTGTCTGCCCTGAAGCTTATGAAAAACAAGCCATAGTATGACACCAGTTAAAGAGATTTTTTTAAGGTAGCTCTGGTAGGCAATGTAATCTGTGTCGCCATTGACACCGAAAAAATGTAATCTGCAGTATAAAATCTAAAGATCACCTCTAAATAATATATTTGCATCAGTCGGTCATTTTTTCGACCAATATTTACCGGACAGAAAATTTATCTACCTATTGGCATCGAACGATAGACTGTGAATTAAGGTGCACAACATGAAAATGGGACGCTGAGATTGAAGCCATAATATGATTTTCAGAAACAAAGAATAAACCCCAATGACCCTCACTAAGACAGATGGCCTTTAATAACATCAACATCGGCTATTTAGTAGTTGTGGTCTCTCCATTAAATAAAAGGCAGACAATGTGAAAGCCTAATAAAAAGCTAGACGGGAGATTCTCTTTTTAATTAACAACACGAGTGGGGTCTTACGCCTGTAATCACGGCTATATTTATATGTGAAATATAAAACATTGAGTAACATGGGAAAATCACTGAGCTTCTTGTTAGGTGGAAAACAAGGGAAATACAGTGAGATGAAGTTTGAAAACGGGGGATTTTAATAGTTTTTTTTTTTGATAATATGTTTTTTTTTTTTCCTATAGACAGTATCGTCAGCCAGCGAGGATAATCTTGAATTCAGATTGAAAGAACTTAAAAATGATGAAAATATAGAGACAAATACTAATATAGAACATACAGTAGTCCTAGCTGGCATTGCTTTTTTGTGCCCGGGGCCTTTTGATCACCTTAACTGCTATTGCTTGGCAGTTTGGATTAAATGAAAGTCTTACGCAGTTCTCGAGCAATAATAACTCAAAATCTGTTAAGTACTCGAGGGGGCAGAGAAACTATTTCCAATCTCGAGAGCGTACCTTAAGATTAAATCTGGATCAAAGCAAAATTTAAAATTAACACCAATATCTTTTGGAATATTACAGCTCGAAGAGATGAGCGGAAACCAGCTTGGACATCTCAAAGAAAAATGCAGATGAAATACAAATTGATCATCCAGCAAAATCCACTTTGCTACTTAAGTGAAAATTAGTTCGATGTAATATCGTGGAGAAATTTTGCTAGAAATAAAATCAGTTTATTGAGTTGATTCCATGCATGAGAACCCAGCATTAAACTTCAACACTCTAAAATCATAACGAAAACCTTTTTTTTTAATCTTTTTTAAGTCCTCATTTTCGTAAACGCAATTTCAGTTGTCAATAGTGAGTTTTCTGTTGAGACCAGTGCAAATAACATGGTGACAAAAAATGATAAGGCATATTCAAACACTCGGCAGCGCTTTTCGAGATTTTCATTTAAAACTCCTAGAGGCCAAACTCGCCGGCTCAAGTATTACCTTCGAGAGCGGCTGAGCGGTATTAACCGTAGCAGTACAAGCAAAATCTTTGTCAGGCGAATCTTAACTTATTATAATCATTAACAAAAAGTTCACCTTATGCATGGCAAACGCAGACAGTGTTTGCGGGAGACAGAACCTTTTTTGCCCCGCTGATTTCATTAATGCCGTATACACCGATTCCATCGTCTTAAAAGTTTTGCCCGCGTCCGTGTACACAAAGACCAATTTTAATGAAGAAAATTTTAAAAAACTTACAAACCTATCTTGGTCTGTTGGTGGGAAATCTTTGGCAGTTGATAAAGATTGTAAGCGTGTCATGTGAAGCCAAATGGAACATCACTGGATAGAGAGAAACGTCGATAGCAGAAGGTCTGTCGCCGGTTCCACTCTCGCGCCAAGACAATCAATTCTTGGAAAATTGAAGTTGGTACACAAAACAATTTATTGCACCACGTCAACAACATCTACCTATCTTTGGCGCAAAAGGTTTAAATCTAAAATTTAATAAATGGATAGACCACTCAGGAAATGGTGAATAAATAGCGTTTGATTTGCATCTGATTGGTGGCATTCTTAGTCGCAGCTGCCAAAGGTTTAATATCACTCGCTATCGCCTCGCTGACTGCAAGCATTGGGCAACTCCGCACGCTACTGATGTGTGATTTTTTTTTTATCGTCGACAACAAATATCGTTTCCTATTTTTACTTTTACTGAATAATTGTATCCCCTCCTCTCTGATAATGCCCGCTAGCGTTAATGTAGCCAACTGGACTAGGATTTTCTACAGGGAACGTCGCAAAGCAACATGGCGCATACAGACGTCCTGTTTCTTAGCAACAGCAATACAGTGACTAGGTGAAAAGCTCACGTGTCACCTCATGTAGTGCTATATTGGAGAAATAGAATCTCTTTGGGAACTTGTAATATTAAAATTTTAGATAATAGCACATTGAAATGTAAAATACGAGCACTTGTTGGCAACCTGCGTGAAAGACGCTGATGAATTTTAAGGTGGTCTTAAATTTAAAGTGCATCGTGAGCTGAATGTTTCAAGGGAACAATTTTATTGCATTAGTAACAAATGATAAAATTCTATGTTAAATACGCTTGGAGATTTTTTAGCCTTAAGTAAAAAGGCTGACGTTTTAAATATCACAAAACTCGCCTTCGTTCAGCGCAGTCTCAACACAGAAAAATCGACACCGTTACCTCGTGATAGAACCCATTTCAATATATATGCGTAACTACAAAAGTTATATGAAATTTTGTTTGCAAAACGGTTTTTCTTTATCATAAATGAAACTAAGCACTATAGATTCCGACTGGGACTTAAATGAAGTAAGGAAATTAAACGAAATTACTTCGATCACAGGGTCATTTGAATAGAACTCTTCTTGTGCGCCCATTAGGGAGTTTAATATATACTCATTTCTCACTCAGGGACGGAGCAGGCCGCACTCTTGGGCGCCTGACATCCCGTTTGTGCGTTTAAACGGTCCCTGATTATCACTTTAATGAATCTTCCTGAATTTGTAGTAGCTTAGTTAGCTATAACTGATTTTAAGTGACTTCCCTACTCTCTGAATCTACACCTTCTTTGTCGCATCATACTGTTTCGTGGTGATCTCGCATGCCGGGGCAGTTGAAGTCCTAGAGAGCATTAAAAGAACGAGTTTTTTTTTTTGTCTTGTGTGGCTTCGTTTACCTAAAATCCCAGCAGGAATGTATAAAGCCAATTCTTATTCATTGGCGAGATTATTAAAAACAAAACAACAGCTTCCAGGCAATTTTTGGAAATGCAAGAGTCGTCCCTCATCGCTTGCAATATTTATTTTCTTTCTGTTTAATTTAAGAGTACATCACAGATCTTACGAAGCTAAGTTTAAAGGTATTCCCTGGAAACGTTAGCCGTGCACGTCTTCAAAAGAGGGTGGATAGTTCACGTAGCAACCCTTGGTACAGTTGATAAAAAAAATTTTATCAGTACCCAAGGGTAGCACATAATATTGTTGAATGCGAAACCAACCCAAAATTCATGAGCTTTTTTAACGCAAGCTTGGCAAACAAGTACTGTGAGCGTGTTTTGGAAAAAAATTCCAATGGTCGACCAGTAGGTAAAAATTTTTAACTTTACCTACAGATTCTGATTATGACAACTGAAACTAAAAGAACAAATCAGCACTCCGAGAGGTGTAACGTGAGCTTGTCATCATCATTATTGTTACCAACCCAATTGATGTGAATTAATGTCACTCAAGCACCGATCGAAGTTTTCAATTTGGGTTTGCGTCACATACTTACCATCTATATCATCTCTAGCATTTTCTAAACAGAGTTTTTAGTTTAGTATTATTAATTATTGTTTCTGTTGTTGGTGTTCTTCCGATTCGTATCGTTTTATCGGAACAGCAGAAGTACCCCCAACGGAAAGCTTTCGTTTTTGAAGCATCCAAGAACACAACACAAGGCTCGAACCCCAACCGCTCGATTTGGATCGAGGCCATTACGTAATCCACAAGATCACCACGCCTGAAAAACTTGATCAGTCTTTGAAAATACCTGAAAGATGATCGCCTCTGGAACACAAATTTAATTCCAATTGCAATTAGATTCCGGCATTTTGAATAACGTTACTAGGGGGGGAAGTAGTTAAGATTGTTTATCAGCCATCAACGTTTTGAATTTTCAGCACAAACAATGCTTGAAATGACAATTAAACCCGTTTCGAACGAGTTCAATTCACTGAGCTAAAATCTATTGAGAAACAAAAGGCCGGAAGAAAAGGAAGTGAGATGAGATGCTGTTTGCATGGTTCAGAAATGTGTTACACGATACCGTATTGAAATAAGCTAGTGTACGGAGCGGCAACCCTTAGTTTCTGAATCTTTCAGGAAAACGACTTTTTGGCTACTTTGGTAAAAGGTCTTTAAATTCTTTTTCTAGTTTGGCTAATTAAAGATTACGTTTTTTTTCCTCAAATTAAAATAAACTGATTCACCTTGGAATGATTGCCAATCCTCTTACAGTATGAAGATTGTTTTTCTTTATTATTGCTACTTGGTTTTGTTTTTCTTTTAATTTTTGATAAACTGACTTAGGTATTCAATGGACTCAGTATAACACACGAATTTGGCCCTGGTAAAAACCATGCAACAGTATTTGGAGACTTCTCTTGGGAAATGGTTAACGGACAACATATGCCAGAGAACGCCTTGTGAAAGGGGCCGTAATGAAGTTCACTAGTTTATACGATTCTTCTTTGTATCAAAACCCCGAAGAAATTTGAAACCACCTCTCCGATCAATATTGGTCCATACTGCTGAGCTATGTGGCCGTAGAAGCTATTCACACCCAAAATATCACAAGGATATCTACCAGGAGTAGAGGTTTTGCATTGCAGTCACGTTTCATGGCAGGAACAATGAAAATGTTTTGCATTAAACAACATTTTTTCCCATAGGAAAAATAATCGATTGTTCCCGCCATGCAAAATGGCTGCCGTGCAAAACCTCTATTAATTTTACAACAAATGTAGTGATTTAAAACGGAACTAAAAACTGACTTGAAAGCCTTCCAGTAAGAAAGGCGGACGGGAAAATAGGAAAAAGGAAACGATTGAAGTTATTTCAGTAATACGTGCATGACAATATTCATTTTTTTTCTTTATTTCGTGCTTTTTCATGTCCCCAAACTGTTTATGCACGTCGTGAGACAACGATTTATTATTAATAGGTGCGTGGTCTATGCGAAAAAGAGTGGATATAGGAAGAACACATTGTTACAAGGATTTTGATATTATTGATTTAATATAGGATGGTTTTATCTCTCAACTTACGTCCAATTTTTTTTAATTTGGTTTGATTAAATACCACGGCAGTCGATCTGCATAAAAGATGGACAAACAAATTTATTTCAGAAATGTGCGGTTAATAAATTTAAAGTTTCTCTTTTGGAGATGGAATTTTTCTTCTTGAGTTCGCCAATTAGTTGAATGCATAGAAAAAATGCCTTCAAGTCTCTAATACTATTATTATTTTACCCGCCCTGTCGACGAACAGTCTCTTAAAGGAAAGAAATGTGCCAGAAACTGGAGACAGTTAAAACAAATATTGATAATAAATGAACCACAAAGAAGGCTCAGTATAGTTACCTTTGGGTGTGATTCAATCTTCGTTTCTTGTTGCACTCGGCCAGTGTTATGTGAAAATTGAGTTTCTGGGCAAAAACTGTCCAACGTACTTCGGACAAGATTAAGAAGGACGGAGTTACGAATACAGCTGCATCCGAGAACCTTTTAAAATCTATTATTGGTCTAACATCCAGAGAAAATATGCTGTCTCGACACTAGTGAGACCCAACTGACGCCAGAACTCTTGCCACATTAATGAAAAAAACACACCTCCTGTGAATTGAAGCACTCCGCAAAACCATCGAACCCAGCATGTCGCAAAACAAATAATACACAACACACCGCGGACTCTAAATCCCATGAAGGCCGTTAACACATTTGCTATATCCTCATTTTGCAATTAGTAAGAAACTAATTGTGTTTTTCTGCCAAATTGAGCGCCTGCCAGCGAGTTCGTCAGAAAAACTGCATGATTATATATTCATTTCAGATTATTAAACTCGTCTTGCTAAAACTGTTTCTTTATTGTCGAGAACATTCGTGCTGTGTTTACATAAGCTAAATGCACTTCAAGTATAAGGAAGTGAAGTGTTTTGGAAATGACCTGCAGATGAGATCGGCATGATAAACAGACCCATTGGCTCTTAAAAATAACAAAAGTTATCTTATTAATGTCTTCATAAGTGGCTGATCACGCAGAACACGCAAGACCTGTTATAAATAACAAAGAGATTAACTTAATGTTCTTAAGAAGACGAGTGTTCTGCCAATTGCTCCAAGTTGTGGCGTTTCTGAAAAACTTAAGGCACCTGAACCTGCTGTATTTCTGTTAAATTAGCTTGCACTTAAATCTTAGTGATGAAATAAATGTGTTAAAAAGCATAAGAAAAACAAATTTCAAATTACGTCCAGTATTTTTGATTTAGTTTGCCTAAACATTTATTTGCTTATTCAACTTTCTGACGAACAAAGGAAATTAATTCAGTACCAGATGTGCGTTACCTCTCCAAAACATGGCCTCGACTTTTTAGGGTCTGCTAAAAAAATATATCAATTTGATTGCTTGTCGATCGATTTTGGCAATGGCTTATGTTCTCCCATCTAGACTGGCTGTATATTCTCTTCAGTTTTCAGTCCCAATTTAACTGCTTTTTCATAGGCGTTTCACGGGCTTTTTAACACTGGAATTATCTTCTATCAGCGCAGTTTCATTTTTCATTTTTGAGTTTCAATTCGTTTTATGTTGACATCCGTTAGTAGTCTAGCCCGGCTATAGTTGCTGAGTTTGGTGCAGCCCGCAGATTCATGTACAGATATCATTGCTTTCAGGCCGTTTTAGCATTCCCCAACAAAAACCATCATTCAATAAAACAAAATATGAACGAACTGGTGTCTTAAGAAACCAAAACCCTTCTTCCTAACGTACCGAGACAAATTTCTAGCGCTGCAAACGTTTGTTTTATTCTTAGACATTATAGGGCCGCACAATATGTTTGACGATATTGCAAGCTGCTTGAAACAGGGCAGACTTGAAAATTATTGATTTGAATTCATTGTTTTAGACTTCTTCATTTCATACGTGCCGGGCCATCAGTATCTTCGGATTTCAACTGAATTATAAACTATTTTCATCATATGCGTTTAACTCTAGATGTATAAAAGTTAGTTTTTGTCACTTTTAACAACCAAGGTAATTTTAAAAATTTTGCGATTGAATTATTAAGTAAACAAAAGGGCCTACCGAGGTCATGCAATTTTAATTTTGCCTTAATTCATTATCATCAAGAAATCTCCCGTATAGGCCTTATTCCCAATGAATCCTTTAGAGGTTATTTTTAGATCATTCGTGGCTTCAGAAATCCCACGAGGTTCTTCGCAGAAAGAGCCAATCCCGCGACGCGACTCACGTGGACAGTTTCAGTGGCTTTACAGTCATATTCGTGGTAATATTGCCTGAAGAAGAACTGGCTACCACGTCTAAAAATAACTTGAGAGAAATAACCTTGGGAATACCCTTCATACTTTTCTGTCTATCTTGTATGCGCTAAGTCACCGCGTAGGCAATGAACCTAAGATTTACTTTCGACGGAAATGAAACACGTATTCATGCAGTTATTGAACCGAATACAAAGAGCAAGAAAGCACAAGTGTGCCGAATAAATACATCAGTTTCAATCTGGTTAACCTCTGCCTATCAGTCAAGCTGTTCTGTGGTTTCTTGTCGATCGCTTTGTCATTAGAGTGTGCGGTTTCATGAGCTATTAAAAACAGTTTTTATCTCGTGTCGAAGATTCTTTTCAGACAAAAATGACGAGGAACTAGAGATAAAGTAAGAAGACATAGTAAAATCTTGCCCTTTCTTTAGTGAAATTTCATGAAATGCATGAAACTGGAAGGACTTGGAAGATGGAGGGGGCATCAAATTTACCACGAAAGGGTAAAGGGAAAATAACGAGCAGCTTGTACGTCACTAACAAATCATTATCACTCACTTTGTTATTTTCATACCAACTCTTTATTTCCCGGTTATATAGATCTGTTATTTTCCTTATTATCGTAACGTTTGCCTGGATAGATTTGTTATTTTTGTCCAAGCTTGATTTTGTTCTTATTTCAGTTATTTTCGTTATTTCATTTGGTTTTTATATCGTTCTTCCCCTAAGTCCTTTGAATCGATGTTTTATTCTTGTGTTATTATAGTTGTTTCCTAAAAAAACCACCAACCCTTGTTGCCGGTTTTTGTTATTTTGAGTCGATTGCCTGCATATCTGGCCTAGTCAGTCTTTGCCATAGTCGAACCTCTAACTTATCGGTGATTTAGTGGACAAAAGCCGACATGTTCGCAGTTACCCCAAGTTTGCTTTACGAATATGTTCTGCCAAGAACGTAACATGATCAATGTTTGTTAAATGTTCACTAGCTATTGAAGGTATCGACAAAATATTTGCGGCGTGCATTACTGACAACTAAACTTTTATTTTGTGAACTCGCTCACAGGAGAAATATTAAACAATCAGGATTGAAATTATGAATATTTTTTTGACTTCGAAAAGCTTTACGTGCCCCTACCATCAAACTTCAACAAACGTGGTAAACCATTAGCTGAGTGAAATAAACAAAAAAAGTAAATACTAAAATGAATTTGCATCCCCCTAGATATTGTCAGTGCCTACGCAACCATCTGGTTATAGAACCAAAAGTTAGGAAATCCTCTTCAACGAGGAAGGAAAATTAAACAAGGGAAAAACCTAAGTTGGAACGGACGTTGCCAGAAAAGAACTATAATAATCCTCTACAACCAAAGACAAGAGATAACGGGTTCGAGTACTTACTGCTGAAGCAGAAATCTAGTTAACTAAACATGTAGTGTCTATATAAGTCCAAGAAGAAAACAGCATTGAAAGTGGCAGTTAAGGCGAGCCATTCACTGCACCACTTTTCAGACCTACATATGATATCGACATGTATAAAAAGAAACATTTCCTCTCACGCAATCTTAACGCTCAACGTACAACAAGGAAATAAAACAAAAATACTTGTTTTATATAATTTATAAATACCTATCTCGATTAAAAACCTACAACCTACGTTTAATTTAAATTACCTTGAAGATGCAGAATAATTGATGCCCACGCCAGTTAGCCTCCTTCTGCTAAATAGAACACATTAAGGCAAGCTCTTATCCAGAATTCAAACATAAGGGCAGCTACGTATTTCAATATTAACTTTAATCCCGACGTTTTTGACAATATAATAAGTGCGGACGAAATTTAGAATAATACAGCTTTGCACATCACAGTAAGTTCCACTGTAAGGAAAGCATCTTTCAATGTCAGTGTTCAACTAATGATTTGAACTTTGTTTTAACCAAACATTACTGAATCTAAAGCATAATAAGTGGACAGTTTTTTTCTCTGTATTTCGAAGCATATCGCTCACTTTACAGCCTTTGTTATGAAGTTACGCGTTGACAATCAAACAGATCATAGCCACCTGCCTGTGGCCGCTCTTGCATATGTCCATTAAGATGTCAGTACGTCGACAAATTATCAGAAATGCTTTGTTAACCACAATCACAAAAATGACGAAACTGCGAATCCCATTGGTTCAGTTAACAGATCCTATTTATCTTCAAATAAGAGCGGAAGCGGCTGAGGTGTCCAGTTACAAAGTGTTCAATTTCTTCAGTAACAAAATGCTCGTGCCCCATGTGCCCCGCACGTACGTTTAATTTAGTTCTTTTATCATTGTGACTGAGTAATTACTCCTTCTTTATACTCACAAACCTTTTCAGAGGTATAGGGTGCTTACCATTTGTCAGAATAAACCGGTTGGGATGACCGTTGTATAATGGTAAGGGTTTTTCCAAAATCAGCAAACCAACCGAACGAGATGGCGCTTACCATTTGCAATTCGATTCCTCGTAATTGTTTTCGGCTGATGAGAGACTGGGAACTGGAAAATTTACCAAATGGTAAGGAAATTTCCGCCGTTCCGTTCCGAACGGAAAAAGAGGACTACCTCTGAAGTGGGCTCTGAAGTTAGTCTACAATTTCCGGACGGATTTTCCGGAAGTGCTGTTCCATTTGACTTTCAACCGAAATTTCCGGATTTTTTTGGTAAATGGTAAGCACCCATAGGCTTTCTAACTCGTCAGTTGTTGTCTAACAGACTTCGCCCTGTCCAACTTTTTTTTTTTCTCGAATTTCTTTGTTTTTTGCCACCGTAATGTATTGGTAACAGGACTTTGGGTTATCCCGAATTCTGTTTGAAAACAAATTGAACTCCTGCTACGTGACCGTCCGATTTTGTTAATCACTGGTATGACTGTAGATAGAGTTGGAATGCACCCGGATTCTATTTACCATTACTTATCGTTTTGTTTTTTTAGTTCGTTTTATATCATTATTTAAACATGACATGGGTATTTCCAGGTCACGTAATGTATATTTCGCCCCTTTACTAAAACTCAATGTGAGGCGAAAAAAGTTACTTTTTCGCGGTTCTTGAATTTTGTAAGAATTGAATCTTAACATTTACTTCAATCTACGAATACTTGTTTGGAAACCGAAAATAAAACGAAGTTTATCCAAGGTTGCATTATTTACCACGTGGCTACGAAACAGCCAATGATTGAGCGAGTGAGATCTGACTAGAACCAGCTATACTTGTATGTAAAACTAGTTAGATTCTACAGGGAAGGATTTATCCACTGGACAAAGTCTGAAGCCTGCGTGGAATGTTGGAATAATATAATGGCTACATCTTATGTACTTGAGGAAAAGCTGTTACTCAGTTTGAGAAGAAAAAACATATTTTCCAATAATATGCCTTTTATTCCTAACTTCTGCTTACAAATATAATTTATATATTTATCCTTTACTTCTTACTAAAATCTTACAAATATAATTTATATATTTATTCTTTACCTTTTATTAAAATCTTACAAATATAATTATACACCAAGAAACAGATAACAATAAAAATATTGGTAAATATTTTGAAAATCGATGCCTGAACTATTACATATACATAATGAACTTAAATGTAACTTAACTCCTCTAGAAGGAAAGCTCTAAATTAATCTTTACAGTTCTAAATGAACAAAATTTATTGCAACTATGGATGTTTATCGATTTTCGCTAGGTACAAAAATAAACTGGTAAGTCTGCTTCTAATCTCTCTGTTGAGAGGGGCATCAACGGGATTTTTCAAAGATCTTTGTGCTGGTGGGGATTGGAGTGTTAAAGAAAGGAATTACGCCAATGTTCATATGGAGACTATAAAATTCTCAAACAGAATGTTGAGAGTGAGGTGTACCAGAAACTGTTTCACACAATCGTACAAACAAGGCAAAGTATTCACAACATAATATGGTAAAAAAGATGTCTTACAAAAGGACGAGAAGCCAAGAAGACAATGTCTTCTGCTAAAATAAGTCTTCATTGTAATGATAATTATTATAACTTAGATGCTCTTGAAGTCAGATGCTGTTTTAAGCAATAGTCAATAAAATCATTGACTAGTTTAAGGTATTCGTCAGGGTAATTTTTATAGTGTTGTACATGACCCGATATCTCCCAACACTTTGAAAACACTTTGATGTTTTTATTCTTGTGTGCTTCAATAAACACCCAGACATCCTTGTCTGGGACTAAGGGGTCTGTTTTACAGAACAAGAATAATTCTGGACATCCCAGGGGTGAGGATATGGTTCTCGGTATTAGTTGTTTTATATCTCGATTGAATAGCCAAACTGGAGGAAAGGCCACAGCTAACCCAACCCACACAGGTATCTTAATTAGAGGATTTGGGATTACTTCCAATATTGTCGACTGAACTCCTTTCAGACTGTGCATGCCTGGAAAGTGAGGACAGCTGTCAAATATACATCCCATGACTTGAATGGAATTGAAATGCCACTGCCCTGGGGTGGATATTGCTTGATTTAAGAAGTAAAATACATTGAATCCTCCCATGCTAAAGGAATAAAGGATGAATGGTCGGTTTTGCTGAGATTTCATTTCTACAAGTATATCCAACAATGCCATGCTAATTTCCTTGACCCTGTTCAAACGCATGAAAGTGTTAAATGGGTTAGCAGGTATTCTCACAGTATCAAAACCCTTTTGTTCAAAGATTTCGCTGTATTTTGCCAGATGTTTATCTTGTGCACTGTTCCAGCCAAGCAGAGCTACAACTGGGCTTGTACTTGCATTTTCTGTTCCAGCTCTTGTGACAACAGCGCCAATCTTTTTGCACTTCGCTTGAAAGTTGGCAGATTCACTCATTGCTGTCCTGTGCGGTACTGATGCAAACTGACGACACAAATGATGAAGTACAAAGAATTTCTTGGTACTGAGTGATACAAGTGTCATAGCTACCACAGGTTATCTTTCAGACACATGGAATATGCTTTTCACCTGAAAAAAATAAATTATAGAAACAATAACAGGTTTTATTTTTAAAAAAAATGCTTAAATAAGCTTAAAACTAAGCTTATATTGAAAATGTATATTTTAATATAACCTCCTGTTTGAGGGGGAGAGGTTAGTAGCTTATCTAAGCGGCATATTTAAAAATAATAGTTATAAAAATGCTTCAAAAAGTTAAATAAGGGGAAATTCTTTTAAGGCTAGCAGTCATGTTTAAAACATCTTCTCAGTTTCATCGTTAAGCTAGTAATATTTTTGCTGTACGGTAATATTTGCCCGGGTATTTGGCATAGCCTTCATAAGCTTTCTATAGATCCCTAATCACTTTTTCACTCTCTTGCTTTTTATAACTTGCATAAATTGTAAAAAAAATATATGGAGGAAATGGAAAAGAAAGTCGCACGAACTTATTGAAAATGAAATTACCTCTAGCCCCACCGCTCCAGGCCGCTGTGGCCACTATGGCCGCTATCTTGTTTTAATCTGAGCCTGCGACTGTTTTGCACATGCACTGGTTACCGAGCGCTTGACGTCACGACAAACAAAGTCTTTGGGAATCAACATGGCTCAGATTTGCAGATGAAGTTCAAACCAGTCATTGCTGCTTAGAGACCAACGAAATGTCTGACTCAGACGACGAAACGCCGACAGACCATCAGCTTAAGTTTGTTGTTTTAGGGGATGGTGCATCGGGAAAAGTAAGTTTTGTAGATAAGCTGCGTACTGAAGGCCCTTCGGTTTGATAGAGTCGCACAGTCGGTGTCGAAAAACGACCGTCCATAAATTTTTTCCGCTCTAATCGTGGTACCTATTCATTTTTTAGACATCGATATGTGTGAGGTATTCACAGGAGAACTTCGACAAAGCCTACAAGCAAACGTTGGGGCTAGACTTCTTTTTGGCGAGAATAGTTTTACCAGGTTTGTATCGTGTTACAAATTTGAAGTCTTGTTGATGCCCTGAAATTGAAAGTTAACAGCTGGATCTTGTGTGTATGTATGTAAGCTTATGTATCACATACGATTCGTTTATATTTGTTTTAGGAAATGTTCATGTGACGTTACAAGTATGGGACATCGGAGGACAAACTCTCGGTGGCAAAATGTTAGACAAATATATTTTTGGCGCTCATGTAAGTGTCAATGCTCTCAGATACATTGACGATAATTTAAGCTTAATTGATTGTCAGCAATATTTTATTTTTGAGTGAGTATATTCATAATCAGCCACGATGAATTTGAAACACCGTCTTCCAGTTGTATGTAAACTTTATTGAAATTCCATCTTTCTTTATGTACAATTAACATGATGTGATTTTGATATTGCGAATTGCTCTCAGGAGAGGCACTTTTCTGCTCAAAGGCATCCAATTACTTGGAATCCAGCAAAAATGCTCTGTTCCCAGCTGTGTAATAGATCGATAAATGCTATTTATTGAACAAATCATTGTCAAATGGATAATGTAATTTATCCTCTTGAGGTTGATTTATCCATAGCAGTGGACAAAGAAAAAAAATCACCATCCCTCTGAACAACAAGCCCTGACTGGGGTCACTGTGTTGTATTATGAGGCAAGACAAGTAACTCTCACAGTGCCTCTCTTCACCCAGGTGTATAAATGGGTACGGGCAAAATTTAAACTTGGGGTTACCCTTGCATTAGACTTGCAGCCCATCCAGGGAGGAAATACTCCTAATCATTTAATGCTACAAAAATTGGAATAAGCTCTGGCAGTATGGGGCTCTAGTCTGATAAAGACTTTAATCTAACCCTGTGCTTTTACCCCTAACAAACTACTAACTTTTCCTGTTTAGTATGTAAAGGCAAAACTCCATGTAATGCTCAGGTTATATTCACCAACATACTACGGTGGTCTGCCTAGGAGGTCATACCCAGTGTGAGGCTAATTTACACACATTGCATGCATCAGGCTGAGCTCTCTTGTTGTATATGGTATTCTGTTGCAGGCTGTCTTACTAGTTTATGATGTCACTAACCAGAGCAGTTTTGATAACCTTGAAGACTGGTATGACACAGTGAAAAAGCTTTGTGAAAAAGATGGCTCTAGATTACCTCATATAGCACTTGTAGCAAATAAAGGTAAATTTCAGACTCTAATAGCAGATCATTTGTCATGGAATCTGTAAGTAATTGGTCACCAATAGACCATCACATTTTGCTGTATTTAAGAGTCAAGACTGTGTTAAACGGGTTCTTAAAGAATTAAAATATTGTTCAAGGATCTTTTGTTTCAGCCAGAAGGAAGTTAGTCAGGCATGAAAATAATTATTGGTTCTATTACTGACTTGGTCATAAACAGGGTTCCAGATAAGTTTTCAAGGCAGGGTACCAATAAGAAATTCCAAAGCGTAAATTCCCACTGTTCGCACCAAATCATTATAAATGTCCTGTTAATTTGTCAGGTCATGTAGCTGACCTTGTTGGGTTTTTGACCTGAGACCCCTTGCTTATCTGGAACACTGCATAAGGTCGGTTTTGTCAATCCTGTATCTGTTGGCCAAAAAGTCAAGATAGTTAAAACAGAGAGTTGTGTGTTATTAAATTGTGAGCATTAGTAGTGACTAGTAAGAATTGTTTGTAGTATCCTAAGAAATTGAACCATTTGTCCCTTTTCTGAATTCTTTTAGTTGATTTGGAACATCAAAGAGTGGTACGGTCTGATAAGCATGGGAAATTTGCCCAAGAGCATGGAATGTCCAGGTAAAAGTTTAGAACACATTGTCCCAATACTTTTCAGGGACATGTTTTAGACGTCGCTTAAGACCATGCATGGGTCTCAAGCACTATGAAGATAAATTTGTTTGACACTGAAAATTTGTTTTAAGCTTTGCTTTGATCCTAACTATCATTTCCTTTACCTTGCTGGAATATTGTCAAGTTGTTTTGTTTACTGGGATTATCACTTTATTTCCCTTTCAGTTATTATGTGTCTGCAAAGACAGCAGACCAGGTAAGTTGACATAGATTATTACATAATTTATTACAAGTTGTAACATGTTTTTGAATAAAATGTACCATAATCCATTGTAAACCTAAATAATTATCTAGACTTTTTTGCTTACGTTGCATTTAGAATTACCACTGACAGTAGCATATGCATACATGTGCACATGTACTGTAGTGTCTTGAGTGTCAGCAATAATCAGAAAGTACAGTTTCTAGAAGTTTCTAACAACAGCAAATTAAGTTAATGATATAAATTATGTTTAATGATACTAATTTTAGTGAATTTACATGCCATGTTTAGATCAGCCTTTGCTTCCAAAAAATAGCAGCAGAAATATTGGGAATACGATTAACAAAGAATGAAATGGAGCAACAATCTGTATCCTTTGATAACAATGTTCTGCAACTTCTAAAAATATACAGTAACTGTATTATGATGTAATGGTAAGTGGTATGTTGTGCAATCAGAGCTCAGATGATACCTAATGGTGCTATGAATAAAGAAATACTCATAGGCCACTAGACAAAGATTACATCAAATAATTGGAATCCTTTATTTCAACTTTTTGATATCTTATGTACAGACACAGCTAACAGACTGTTGAAGCATGACTAAAATTCTCGTCACAGCATTATGGTTTTAGTAGTCAGATAGGAGAATTCATATTTTTTTAGTTTGGGTTTGGGATTTGGTAGTCAAGAAATGTTTGATGTTTTTCCTTGACCATCTTTTTACTATGAAGAGAGTCATCAAAGCTGACATCATTCAATATAGCAATCATGAAATGCCATCGAGAGCTGCACCTACACAAACCAAAAGCTCATTCTGCTCACTTCAGTGATGATAAATCCAATGCCAGAAGATGTCTCAATTATTTGTGGATTGCTTCTTTGCTGGCTGCTAAAGACAACTCAGTTCCTGTATTATTCTGTTCCTTTAGAGTACTGTATTTTCTTGCTGGTTCTTAACTGAGCAAGTACAGTTCTTTACTAACATGTACATGTATAAAGCCCCAAGACTCACCCTCATTCATGTATATTTAGTTCAGGCAGAATCATGCTAAAGCAAGTTTTAAAACTCAAGTGTCTTGAAACATTGTATAATTATTGAAAGTAAATTTCTTCCAGCTAGAACCACAAGAAATGACGGAGGTTACTAAGAAGATTGGAAATGTTAATGTTGGGGCTACATGTTATAAACTGTAGTTTAGCTTTCAAGGTAGTAGATTTTCTCTTTGAATGCTGCTTTGCTATTGTTGTTGGCATCCATCGGTCCATAGACTATGAAGTAGTACCGCAAGAGGTCGTGTATGTACATATGTACATGTATGGGTATAATTTGATCAATTGTTTGGCTGTAAAGTTCTCTAGACCCAGCCTGGATTTGCAATCTCTGCTGCAGCCCAAGCATATGAAGACAGATGCCTGTTGTGGATCTGAGTGGTCCTGTTCATTGCAGGCTATTTTCTTGGCCTGAATGGCAGCCTCCCTTCTTCTCAGTCCCTTACTATTGCTATTATTATAATTATTAATTATCATTAAAAATAATTATTACAATAAGGAGCATCAAGAGACAAAAAGTAAATGCTCCCCTTGGTAACAATCAGCTGTCAGCTTTAGGAGCTATCAATTAATGGTTATAAATATTTAAGTAGAGGTGAAGACATATTATAAGTTATTTTAAAGAAACACCTTAGCCTTCCAGGCCATGGGTGTGTGTCCTGCAGGTTTCAAGGGGTGAAAAACAAGTCCAGAAGTACCATTTTCAAACTTGTTTCAGAATGACATGATGTAGATTATATACTGCAGGTGGTACCCTGATTTCACCATGTATAGCTAGCTGGTTTGGAGAGACATTGTACATTAATCCCTGGCCAGAACTTGGAGAAGGGAACTTGAATTGATCCTGTGTGATTGGACACCCTTCCCAGCATGTGGTCTGAGCCAATCCTATGTTCCCAGCCTCAAAACCAACCCCATTGCTTACAAATACCAAGTGCTGAATTGAGCACAAGCCTAATCTGTCTTAAGACGCTGACTCCATTTTGACTTGAGTTTGTTGAGGTCATGGGATTTACCCCCAAACACTTTGTTCTCTATCCATTAATGAGGGGATTCTTTAGAGTGGTAGAAAGAACCTTTAAAGATGATTTCCAGTCCGTACTGCACACTCTCAAGAGTTTGTGTACGTTTTTTGTTTTATTTCATGTGTGATGTCACAAAATGTGAACATTTTGCAACTACTTACATGAAGTAAATTCAAAGTTTCATGTCAACGGCCATTATGGACAGGTATCCAAGCAAAGCTTTATGTTCCGTTCTTTCTCATATCACTTGATGAAACAACTTTGCAGCTGTAAAAACAATGAAGCAATTGGAAAACAAATTTGAAAGTCCTCAAAGATAAGGTATGTGGTTTGTATCAAATAACATAGATTCACATTCTAATGAGTGAGGTTTTTTATGTTATAAACATTAGGGTGCTGAGACTGCACAGTATGGACTGGAAATCATCTTTAATTTCTGCATTGTTTTTACTTGTATACAAAATGGCAGTCATTCACAAGTTTTATACTTTACAAACTATAGTGAGGACACTAATCGTATCTATATCAAAATTCTCAACTGTGACTGGTTCTCTGCATGCCTATTTGTCACATAATCAGTACACAATCACGTGGGTGTCTAGCCTGCAGTGCGGACATTATTTTGGAACATAATCCCTTCCTAGACCAGGTTTTCGATGCCACCATCTTGGATAGTAATTGGTTGCTTGACCAGCAAAGGTGTCCCATTAAAAGTATCCATTTTCAACTTTTTGTAATAGGATACCTGTAATTGGATACCTACACCATTCGCTTGTCAGTTACACAAAATTTAATGGCTTCCTTCTAATGTTCCCTTATAGGTTTTACAGTTAGGGAAAACACTACCCACATTTTTGCTCAAAAGAAGTTCTCAAAAGACCTTTTTTTAATCTTGGAATTTGTTAGATATGATTAAGTAGTAATTGGTTCTCGTGAGGTACAGTTCGACAGAAATTGTGCTTATAATTTCAAATCGGCCTCTGCTCGCCCAGTTTTGAAATTACTTGTATAAGAAGTCCCTGAATTGTACTCCACTGGGTCCAATTACTATTACTAATTGCAAATCTTTTACTTCATTAGTTTTTCAAGTTCTGAAAAGTTACTTACATTTTCTACGGTATGTTTAGGATTGGGCTTCATATTACATGCAGTTTTTTCTCTTTCCTTTTTATAACTAATTTTTTGTTAGTGAAAAGGAGGGATAAAACATTTGCTCTTCACATCACAAGGCAACGAAACTGAAGTAACTCTAGTGGCATAATCTGTATGAAATTAATCAAAATAATGGTAGTTGATCTTTTGTACTCTCTTAAACTCTTTGTACCTAAAATGCATGTTTTGTTCTTTTAGACTGTATCAAATAAAAGAAAACAATGGTATTTTTATCATGCATATAATCATATGCACATTGAATTTAATGATAAATGTTTAATTGTACATTTTCATTTGGTAAATTATGCTACTCCATTCCTGTATATTTTGTACAGTGACAATTAGTAAAATGAGATTTCACTGTTTGTTTTCCATGCTTGGTCTCCCATACACAGCAGTCAAAGAACTTTGAATTCATATATTATGGACACCAAGTGGGTGACCCCAGAGTACGTTCTGTGGACAAATCCTGCCAGATTCTCTGGGATAATACCATAACACCAAAGTGTTTATTATCTAATGATGGTAAATAAGTGTTTCAAAAAACTCCCAGGTTACTCTCAGTTTTTCTGTGTAGTCTCTCTGCATTGGGAAATAGAAGTTCTAAATGCGGTAAAATCAAAATGAAAATTTTTTGCCAGTCTGGGGAGGCGTTAGGTTAGATATGGGTATAGGATTTGAAGATCCAAATAGAGCATTTCCACTCAGCCACCCCCCCCCCCCTGCCACTCACCTCCCCGCCTCCAACTCCTTCCTGCTGCAAAAAAGCAACCAGTCAGATGACAAGATAACAGACCTTTATTTTTCCATTGTAAATCCACCAGGTTTACAGAAACTACACGTGTACACGCTTTTGAGTCTGGTTTGCCTTACTTCTTAGTCAAAGATGAAAAAAGTTGCTCAAGGTTCATGTCGCCTGCCACTGAGGTCATTTTATGAATTCGGAGCCTCATACACAGTTTCTCTAGTTTTAATGTGTTGAGTGGTTTTCAAGTAACTGTCAAATGTAGTAATACTTAGTGACACCCTGAGGGAATTGAGGGAAGAGAAATTCCATCTGCTCTCCAAACGTGGCAAGAGAAATAGCGAGACTAAATGGGATCATCCCGGCTTCGTTTACGAGGCAGGAACACTTCTCTAGTGCCTTCACTACTTGGCGAATAGCAACGAGTTCGTTTAATCTGTCTTTGAGATCGTGTACTCCTAGATTCTCTGGAATCACTGCCACTTCTTTCAGCTGCAGTACTACCATCTTCTCGATGATGTGTTCTAGAACGCCTGATCTGGCTATCAGAATTACTAGACGTTCGCTTATCATCCTTGCGAGGTCGACCTCTTCTGCGAGGCTTATCGAGACCTAATTCACTCTGTTGCCCTTTGACAATCTCAGGGCGTGGTTTTCTATTTCTTTTCTCTCCATGCCTTCGTTTACGGGAGGAATCTCGGCTTTCTTTTCTACTGGCTTCATTCTCTGAGATTTCGCTTTCACCTTCTTTCGTACTTCTGCGTGAGCTAATTCTTGTAGAACGACGCCTTGGCATTGTATTGGAATCCTGCTCGCTTTGAAGCAAGTTTGCTTGTTCTTTTTCTCCGTCTGTGTGTTTTTCGCGCTCCTCTGGTTCGTCGACTTCTTGCGTTCCATCATCTTCATCATAAGACTCACTCCCCGAACTGATCTCCCCATCAAATGATGACAAGTCGCTAGTGTGAACAGATGACACCTCGGAAATGTCCGATTCACCATCGGAATATTCACCAGTTGAAGACACCTGACCCAAGTCTTCTCGTGCCATAGAGGAAGCCACTGAGCTCGGCTTTTCGAGACCAGACTCGCTTTTCACAAGGTTTTCTTTCTGTTGGGACTGGAGTTCTTGGCTTTCATTAGGCAAAGAGTGCCTCGATAACGTATCACTCGGGGTGATTAACTCAAGACTTCCTAACTTGGCGTGTGATGGTGACTCTTCAATAGCTTTTTCAGTGGTATCTAGAGCAGTTGGAAGATCAGTCGCCTTCTTTCCACTGTGTCCTGAAGCACTGCTTTGTGTAACCTCGTCGCCTTCAGCTGCACTTTTTTCTTCACCTGTGGTATCTAATGTCATATCCACTCTTTCTGCTGGCTCCATCACTGGCTCCAATCTTTCAACGCTTTCTTGCATTTTGTTTTCATTTTGTGATAGGACTGCCCCATCAACACCAGGCTTCACGACATTTCCGCTCTGTCCTTCAGGTATTTCTTCAACCATCTTTGTTGTCTGAACGCTATCATTTCTTTGAGCTCCCGTGTCGAGTTTTGGGACTTCATCCAACAGAATCTTCTCGTGCTCTTGTTTAATACAGTCATCTAAAACCTTCATCTCTGATCCAGCTTTTACTTCCTCTTTCTGTTGATGTGGTAGATTCTTACTTAAATTTGTTTGTTCTTTTCTTTCAAATGTCTCGGCCTTTTCCTCTTTTACTTTGACCTTTGCCTCCCAAGTGACAGCACTTTCACTTTCATTCATTTTCTCAGTCTTCTCTTCCAAAACCATTTTCTCAGCTGCTGGTAAGAGATGAACTGGATTCAAGTTTTCATTCTTCTCTGCATATAAGCTGGCAATGTCACCTTGATTTTTCAAACTGTTTCTGTTCTCCACCATGGACGGCGCACAATTCTCACCAAGGCTGGTGCTTTCCACTTTCACTCTGGTTGTCTTGCTCATTTTGAGGCTGCTGTCTTCTACATGTACTTTCGGAGAATTGCGACCATCATCTCGACTCAAACTTTCTGCTTTTACTCTAGAGGTCTTACTCTTTCCTTCTTTAGCTCTGCTGCTGTCGTCTGCTTGGAGCCTTTCATTGACAGGACTCCCAGTTCTAGTCTCCTCGCCTCGTCCTGCAAGTGACAAAGACTTCCCTTGCACTGAGTTAGACTTCTTCACTGCCTGAAAGCCTTTTGAACCACTCTTTGTACTTTCTTGAGCCCCCAACTTCTTGTCAGCAGCCTCCGTTGTCTTAGCAACAGTAGCTGGTGGACCTGGAATTGGAATAAGCTGGCTTATGTCGGATATAACATCGTGCTTTGCATCAGAACTCGATGATTTACTGTCCTCTTTCTCATCCAATGTCTTATGTTTGCGATTTTGTTTCTCTTGAGCTTGTGGATGTTGTTTTGTGTAAATATAGTTCTGTACAACACCTTCAATACGGGTCTGAAACACCTTTGCCTTGCTATCCAAGGCCTGTGCGATAAGTTGTTTGATGCCTCGCTCCAGCACTTCTGATCTGAAAAGGAATTTCAACAAAGTGATGAGATGAGTGTTATTTTAAACACTTCCTGAAACACTACACTAGTCACAAGTAATTAAGTACAGTGTAAGTTAGATCCTTTATTTAAACACGTTGTGTGTAACTATATACCTAATCTAACTGAAAATTAACCTACAAGTGTAAGTGGATAAAATATGCATAATCAGATTTGAAAGTAAAACCAATACAATGTATAATATACTTTCATAATTTAAAATAATTTAAAATTCAAAATCAGACATCTTCTTTGCTACCGGCTATGCGGGTAATCTGTTAAATCTGATTTCCCTAAATGTGGGATCAGATTTCATCTTTCTATAAAATTGCTTAAAGCTACAAGAGTTATTACAGCCAAAGTCAGAAAACCGTGAACGCCTAAAAAATGTCTGGAATGTTCATTGTGTTATTACCAATCACAAACGAGATCTTCATTCACAAAAACCACAGAAACAGATGAGTTGCCATTGGTCACGGAACAAATTTGTTTCGTTTCAAAGGTTTCAAAATAAATCCTCTATTTCGGTTATACAGGGTTTGCACAACTGGTGGCTGTTAAATCCCTCAAGCATGAACTATCCAGATCAGTTCTTTCACTATTTCATTTCGGTATTTTGATAACATCGAAAAGGTATGAGTAATACTGATGAAAATGGAAGTCTTCCATTACATTTTTGTAATATGTGAATCAAGTGCAAATTTATTTGGGAAGGAACAGCAGAAAATTGAGGTGAGTCACTAGTTTAACCAAAGATGATACCAATGATTCATCCTTATTTATAGCCATGTCAAATTAACCGTCGCTTCGCTTGAGTAACCGTATACATCCGCAGGATTCTTGTTTTCCAGAATCCCTCAAACTAAGTACTGGAAGTGGTTCTTGAAACAATAGGATAGCAATTATTTAGACTTTCAGTAATATATAAAGACAGGACAAAGCGAAAACCGTGACTGTTTTCTATGGCTTCTGTGGTTGAAGATCTCGCTCGTGATTGGTTATAACACAATAAACATTCCAGACATATTTTAGGTAATCACAGTTTTCTGAGTTTGATTGTAAAACAACAATTAAGTAACACAATGCATGTGTTACACTCATTATGGTTGCCTTTCAATTGAACGCAATTCAAATTTCTCTCTAATAAGCCCCCCCCCCCCCCCCCCCCCCCCCCCCCCCCCCCCCCCCCCCCCCCCCCCCCCCCCCNCTGGAACAACCCTAACCCCTTCCTAATGCTAACCTTAGGCCTAAGTACTACACTAAGACAATGTTTTAGGCCTAAATACTACACTAAGACAATGTTTAGGCCTAAGGTTAGCATTAGGAAGGGGTTAGGGTTGTTCCAGTATTAGTAAAACAATGATCCATGACCTGTGTTTTAGACCTGCCACACCCCTCATCACTTTCCCAAGATGATAAGTTAACCAAAGGAATTCAAAGAAATCAATCTTAGGAGCAGGAGACACAGTTTTCAGTTTCCTTTGCTAAGATTTACCTTTTTTCCTAAGGCCTTCAGTTAATTAGAACAGCATAGTACCCTATATTTTTAATTTTATTATTACTTATTAATACTATTAATGACATGGCCATGGTTCCAGTCCTCAGGTAACCTGTTTGTTATGATTGGCCTGCATGATGTGGTTACTTTAGGTTTGGTTCCTATAACTGCCATTAGCAGATGACTCTATTTAGGAGCATCACTTACTGATTGATATGTTTTCGCAAGCTGTCTCTGACTTGATTTTTTGGCAGAGCATCTGTCCATGTTTGTTTTGACAAGAACGTTGCCACATGGCTCTCAACCCGCTGTTTCAACTGCCGATAAGATTCCTGTTTATAGACAAATATACAAGTGTTAGAATACAGAATAAAAACACAATGCCAATATCTGCTACTCGCTGACAAACTGGGACTTACACTTTTATGACAGCTGATAATAACCCTTTTAATTTATGGAATATGTTACACTGTCTCGTGTTTAAGCCTACTTCATGGATCCAGTCTTCTACTATCCATATTCTCAATTAGGTAATTTCGGAGAAGTTCTTACAGTAGTCGAATAGATGTCAATAAACCTTTGAAATTGTCCTTCAGTAGCATTTTGGATGGTTAAATTGACAATTCACTATAGATCGACGAGATAACAGTAGCTCAACGGCGTCGACAAAACCTGGATCGGACCGGACCGGACC